TTGATTTGTGTAGAACATTTTCTAGCAAGCAAATTAACTAGAAGAACGGATAAACTGATACATCAGAAAACCTTTTTAGCGCCTTGCTCATAATTTTATAACTTATTTAATTCCGGATTAGGTTTCTATAAAAAATGAATGCAAGTACAAATTCAATTGCTGCAGCAGCTTAGAAACCATCCTCATCGTCCTCAGCCATCTCCTTGGCCAGCTCGAGGTCCTGTTGCTCCCGCTCGCGTCGCTCCTCTGCGCTCTCCAGATCCTTGCCGTAGGACTTTGGGGGATAGCGCATGGCCTTCACGCTCTGGTTGTGCAGGTTCAGGCAGAACGAGATGCGCTCGTGGAAGGCCAGCTGGGGCTCCCGGGTGCTGTAGATGTCGGTGCTCTCCTTGCTGCGCATGTAGTTCTGGGCCGGGTCCAGTGTGGCCTCAATCACTCCATCCCGTATAGCCTTCGAAACGATGAACTCAGCATCCTCGGCCGAGTCCAGCATCAGTCGCTTGGCAATGTCCTGCGGCGAGATGCGCGAGTACGAAAGACCAATAGACCGGATAGCCGTCTTGATCACATTGTGGCGCAGACGGATTATCAGAGTGAACGTGTGGTCCAGTTGGAACTTGGGTCCGTACTGGGACACCACGTCGCCGAAGCGTTTCAGGTTGCCCAGACGCACGGCTTGCGTGAGCTGGAAATATGCGCCCAGAGACTGGCGCAGACCGGCCTGCCGGAACACCACACGCTCCGGGATGTTTCCCAGTAGCAACTCGACGACGATGATTAACTTTTGCACCGTCTGGCGGAAGCCAATGGCCGCGTGCTGCGGTGATTTGCGCAGTGCCTGGACCAGATGCTTGTGGGCATCGCTGTACTCCAGTTTGGCGGCCTTGATGCGACCCAAATAATACAGGAAGCGGGCCCACTCGTTGTTGCTGGCCGACTCCGGGTACACGGACTTCTTCACCAGCTTGTCGGCCTGATCGTATAGAGCGTAGTGCAGATAGTTACGCAGCAGACAGTTGATTAGCACCGCCTGGCCTTCGAAATCGTTGCGCAGCGTGGCCGTGCGCAGGCGGGCGTGCAGGAAGGCGCGGATGCCCTCCAGAGAGTTCTTCAGCTCTGCCACTCGGGAGAAGTAGAAATAGGACTTGGCTCCAATCAGATCCAGGGTGCGGCGGTTCTGGATGGAGATTTTGGCCATCAGAGCATCGGCGCAGGTTCCGGCGCGCTTTAAGTCGCTGGCGTCGATCAACTTGACCAGCAGGAGTAGGTAGAAGTAGGCGTCCACCTCAGCAATTGGGGCCTTGCTGGCCACTTGCTTCTTGGGCACATCGGGCAACTCGGTTGCGTCCTTCTCAACGGCTGGCATTAGTGCCACGGCGGCCTCACGATCGGCACCAGCAGGATAAATACTCTGGGCGAGATTTCGGAAAACGACGCCGTTCAGCTTGCGGCGGGTGTTGGGCAAATTGCGAAGGACGCGGAGGATGAAGCTGTCGGGGGTGAAAAAGAAACCATTAATGCTGGGCGGGATTGTAAAGCGCTGAACACTTACCGCGACTCCTTGGAGGCCACCCCCTTCTCAATCTGGCGAATTTGCTCGCGAATCTCTTGCACTGCGGCCACATCTTGGTTCTTCTTCTCGTCCGCCAGCGTCTCGGCGGTGGGATCCACCTCCATCTCCACGTCGTGGGCACCGATGTCCGTTGCGTTGGTCATGTTGTAGAACTCTTAATTTGCTAATGTCACAGTTATGGCCGACTTTTCTTTTGTTTTTTCAATCCCAATCCAAATCAAAAATGCCTAGTAATGTTGCTTCTTCTTCTTTTTCGGCTCACAGAAAGTGTTGGAAAGTGCAGTTGGTTAACAGCTCTGCTAAACGGAGCCAACTTACCGATTTAAAAATATCGATTTCTTGTGCTTAATAATACACTGCAAGAAAGTTCAGACATCTATTAAATTAATAAATATAATTTTCATTGATTTAGTAATATTATTATGGTTTAAACATTATCAGGGACTATTTATTACCGTGTTAAGGCAATTTTACATATTTTGTATTTAACCAAATAAGTTAAGCTTTTTTCGATATCGGAATCGATAGCCCGATACATCACTTCGCACGTTATCACTGTTACAAAATAACACTTAAAATTCGGCAGATTATGAATTAAGTTATTGTAAATATAGACTAAAATGTTGCGGTACAGATATGCAGTGAGACTTCTGCAGCGCCGAAATTACTCGGCAGGAGCAGCTAGCAATGGAAGTGGATCATCCGGCGGCGACAAATCCGGCGAAGATGATCGGCACCCCATAAGACGAACCCTTCGTTTGCTCGGCAACGATATGCGTAAAGTGAAAGACTTCTTTGTGCCAAAGGAAAAGGAAACCGAGGAGGATCGTATCCCCACCCAAAGCAAGTTCCAGTTTACCGGAGAGAAGACAAGGGATCCAACAGTGCCAGATGATTTCCAGACCCACTGCGATGTGCTCATAATTGGCGGCGGAGGAGTAGGCAGCTCCATCGCCTACTGGCTGAAGGAGAAGGCCCGCGATGGCCTCAATGTGGTGGTGGTGGAAAAGGATGATACAGTAAGTGAAGCCTTTAATGCATGTATAAATATATCACTCACCTTTCTGCTTCTTACAGTACGCCCAGTCTGCCACCCGCGTTTCTGTGGGCGGTCTTTGCCAGCAGTTTTCCCTGCCCGAAAACATCCAGATGTCTCTCTTTGCCGCTGAATTCTTGCGGGGCGCCAAGCAGCATTTTGGCCAGGATGTGCCCCTCCAGTTCACACCATATGGACACCTAATGCTCGCCGGCGAAGAGCACGCCGAAAGCCTAATGCGCTCCTCCCAGCTGCAAAACGAACTGGGTGCCCGGAACGAACTCCTCACAGCGGATCGACTGGCAGCCAGGTTTCCCTGGCTGAACACTAGGGGCATTGCCTTGGGCTGCATTGGACTGGAAAAGGAGGGCTGGTTCAATCCCTTGGCCCTGCTTAGCAACCTTCGTCGCTCTGCCAGCGGCTATGGAGCTCATTTCCTTAGTGGCCAGGTGGTGGACTTTGAATTCAAGTCACAAACAGACATATCTGTGGTCGGAGACGCAGGGTCCAACGAAGGAAACTATACGGGCCTGGACAAGGCGGTCATCCAACTGCCCGATGGCACGAGCCGCACATGCAAGTTTGCTCTGTGTGTGATAGCAGCCGGCGTCAGTTCCGGACAGGTGGCACGATTGGCGAAGATAGGTGTGGGTCCGGGAATGCTGCAGGTTCCCCTGCCTATCGATGCACGCAAGCGGCACATGTACGCCATAAATTCGCAGGCTCAAAGTGCACCTGGAATGTCGATGCCCATGACTATTGATCCCACGGGAATCTTTATCCGTAGAGATGGACTAAACGGCAACTACATATGCGGACAGGATTCCACTGAGGAGAGCAATGTCCCAGCGGCGGATGCGCAGTTCTTTGATCAGCACATCAGACCAAAGCTGGCAGAGCGAGTCCCCGCCCTTGGAGAGGCCCAACTGCTGGATAGCTGGACCGGCAGCTACGATCAGAACGTTTACGACGAGAACGGCATTTTGGGAGCCCATCCGTACTATCACAATCTGTATATAGCTACAGGGTTTAGCGGGCACGGAGTCCAGCAATCCCTTGCCGTCGGTCGAGCCATATCCGAGTTGGTAATGGACGGCCAGTTCCGGACCATCGATCTCTCGCGTCTGAGCTTCGACAGGCTGATTGTGGACCAACCCATGTACGAGTTTAATAATGTGTTAAGCTAGGTTTCTTGATGGTGCATTATAAACTAAATGCAGCTAATTTAATGTGTGAATTTGAACTATTTGAACTGGCCGGGAGCGGGACCAAAGAGACCTACGCCCTGTTTACTGGCGGCGCGCGATGGAGCAAAGCCCAGAAGCTTCTGAATATTCTGGCGAATGGACATGGTGCACAGAATGTAGAGGAAGATGAAGGAGCAGTCCGTGTAGTCATCGCCGGAAAGATTCCTGTGGCTCAGACCCTGGATCCAGGAGATGGGCGTGAATGGCAGCTGGGCAACGACACGGCCGTCGAAGATGCTATTGAACATGCTAAGCAAGGCGGTGAAGGCGAAACCCGTGGCAAACATGGACTTCATCTTGACTAGCGACAGATCGCGGTTGTTGTTCTTCAGTTTCTCCTCATCCCGCTCGATCTTCTTCTTCACCGCCTTGTCTAGAGAATCCCCATGGATCTCCTTGCGGCGCTCCACTGAAATTCACAACAAAATGCGGATTACCTCGTGATCTTTTTATAGACCCTTTGACCGACTTACGCTTTTTGCTCTGCTTTTCCACCTCGGTTTTCAGCTTTTGGTACTTCTCTGTCCGGTAAACCAGCACCCAGGTGAGACCTGAAGGCAGCAAAGGGTTAATTTGAATAAATTAGCGATGTTTTCACTCACCTTCGCCCAGGAAGGCGGTGCACACCGATATAAATACAATTAATATTGTGTCGGACCACATTTTTTCACTAAATTAATGTTAATAAAAATTAAAACTCATCGATAACACAAGTGACACATTTTCATAAGCTACATCGATATTTTCTTAACATCAACTATCGATACGTTTATGATAGCGGGATTCTGGTAATGGCTTTTAACCCGTTACTCTTACTCTACGAGTATATTATATTCGTCGGAAAGTGAAAAATAAATTAAAATGGATTTTCTTACTAATTACATAAATAAATGTTGAGAATCGTACCATTCGCATTGTTATTTTAAAAGTAATGACTAAGCTAAGCAGGCCTTGTCATGGTCATTAGTACGGCTACCGTCCGCTATTTACCGTGGCGCTGGCATCCTTAGTATTTAAGTTCTAAATGAATCTTTCCTTCTATCCTTATGAAAATTAAAAATGAATCCTATTCTATTTTACAAAAAATACGATTTTTTGTGAGTCGAGCGGAATTAAAGTTTATTTCTCAGACATTTAAAACACATTTATGGTTTTGGCATTGTCACAAGTTTGCCGACTGTTGGTAAATTGTATTTCTAAGTTCATTAAAATTTTAAGAAATATTGATTTTACAAATAATCAATCAATTATTTTCTGTTTGTTTAATATAAAGATGTAAGCATGGTAACTTGCTGCAAGAGTTTCTAGATTCCGATGGTAAGTTTCCAACGCGTTGATGCTGATGCCGGTCGCTTTTCTGGCGTTGCTGTGGCTGTTTTTGGGGTGAGGTGACGTTAGGCGCTGTAAAATGCTACATTTGAGGAAAGAAATCAAATCAGGTTATATATATATATATGGAAATATATATGCGGTATATATATATGGAACAACAACAATGAGAAAAATAACTGAGAAAAGAGAGTTTGAAATCTCAAAATTAGAAAATGTATGGGACGTTGGCGGAAATATTCAAATCGAAGTGCGTTCGTTCACTTCAAGTTGAATATTGCAACGTTGGTATTTTGGGAACGCAAAACGCTCGAAAATTAGAAAATATTCGGGTGATGATGGGACCCTGCAGAAGTTTTAGTTGCTGTTTTATCATTTTAGGTTTTGTTTTTTGGATGTTGACGTTAGTTTTTGAGATATTTTCAACATTTATTTGCTCAATCTCAAGCCTCCGCCTAGTAACGTCGTCGCTCCCGCTCGCGACTGCGGGATCGTCGTCGTTCATTGGAACGATTGCGACGCGTGTCCCGCTGGCGGTCACGTTCCTTCTCACGCTCCTTTTGCCGCTCCTCCCGCTCTTTGATGCGCAGATTATTCTCCTCGATGCGTTTCTGACGTATTGCCTCCTTTTCTGCGATCTGAATAAAGACATTTAATATTTTAGGTTTTAAAGCTATTTGCTTCTTAATGTTTACTTACCGCTTCCGGCGTTAGCGGCAGCCAGTAGATACAGGGCGAAACTTTAGTCTTTCGAAATAAGTCATCTAATAGCCTGATAGGCGGTTCATTCTCCTTCCTCTTGGATTTGGACACTATTCATGTAAATTAACATGTAATAATCTTAACTTCAAGCTATCTTTATTCGTATTACCTGGTGACCCACTGCGACTTCTTGCGTGTGCATTGCGATCGTTGCGCTCTCGTTCCCGTTCGCGTCCTCGGCCCTCCCTGTCCCTGGAACGTTTGCGGTCCTGTCCGGCGCGATCCGCGTCCCGAGATCTCGAGTCCAGTCGATCCTTGCTCCCTCGTCGTCTGTCGTTACTGGATTTGTCGTGGTCAATCGGCTCCTTTTTGCCCACATCCCATTCGCGTACCGGGCGAACAGGCTGTACAAAAAAAAAACAAATTAGCTGCTTTGCTATGTTGCTATGACAATAATCCATTACCTTTTTGTCAGATGCTTCTAATCGGGACCAAGCATTGCCCGCCTGCTGGTTATCTCTAGTGTTTTCCTGGCCATACCTGGGAGCCTCGTCCTTCGTTGATAGTATTGCACGATCCATGTCTGTGCGACTGCCGAAATCGACGTTTAAACATTTGGGATTCGAGACAGGCCAGCGAACTCCGTGCAGGGCATGGCGAGTTTCAATAGCCTCGCTTAAATGGTGAAACGAAAAATATTATTATTAATATAAATGAAAATAAAAAAATCATATTTAAATAATTATAAGGCAACTATTGTAAATTTATTAACATGACATAGAAAACATCCAAAATTAGAAAAAAAAAAACATGAAGGAAACTTTCAATTTTTTTTGATAGTTGAAGCTACTTGTCCTATTCGATATAATTCCTTTAACTACAATACTTACTCTTCAGTGGAGTAGGCAACGAAGCACTTAGACTTGATGCGATCTATCCAGAAACCGTCCTCCTCGACGATCTTTCCCGTCCGCGCCAGCAGTCCTTTCAACTGCAGCACTGTGAAGGGGCGCACCAAATTGGTGATGTAAAGCACGTGGCTGGCGCGGTTTCGCGCAGGACTAGGATCACGGACAATGTGTGGTGCGGCTGTCGCGACGGTGGCTTTGCTCAGGGCGCCCTGTGCCGACACCGTGTCTGTGGCTGCCGTCGGAGTGGTCCGACCCGTGGCCTCAACTCCCTTGTCTTCCTTATCTGTCGTCGCTTCTGCGCCGGTATTGGTGGTGGTGACGGTAATGGCCTCGATGTCGCGATCCTTTCTCCCCTCGGAGGCGGACGCCGGCGAAGCGGAACGCTCAGAGTCGCGATCGCTGGTGACCAGACCCTCCTCTTCCGAGGAGGAATCGAGTTGCACATCGCTTAGAGGCACCGGCTGCACCACATCGGCTATTATGTTCTTTAGGGAATCCGTCGAAATGGCAAGCACGGGCGGGGCGCGGTCCGAGGACTTTTTATTCGTCAGCCACTTGCGCTTCCGCACCGATCGCTGTTGTTGGAGAACTGGAGCGGTTGTGGTGTTGCTTGCGCTGCTATTTACAGATGCCTCGTGCTTGTCGTTGGGAAGATCTGCTGGTTCGTCCTGAGTATCTTCTGCTTTCTCCTTCTGCTGTTTTCGGTTCTCCTTCTGCTCCTCCTCCTCCGCGTCCTGCTGTTCCTGTTTCGGTTCCTTGTGCTTCTTCTTGGACTCCCTGCGTTCCGCAGGAGCAGGGGCTTCTTCGTCCCTTTCCTCGACCTCTTCTGTCTGAATGTCTAATACATCGCTAGACGTTTTTAGATGTTCCTCATCCTTGCTGGAAGGAGAAGGAACCTTTACCTCTTGAACTGGCTCGCTCGGCTTGCTGCTGTCATCTTCGCCAGCTGGGGCATCCTGCTGCTGCTGCTGTTTTTCATCCTCTTTGTCATCCTCCTTGTCCTTGGCTTCCATCGGCTCTGGCTCGGATTCCTCTACGGGAGCCAGCTGATCCTCCTTCTTGGCAATGTCTTCGGACTCGCTCTCAAGAGCCGCGGGCGGCTCCACAGCCTTTTCCTCTTCTACGCCTTCTTTGACCGCATCCTGGCCGTTCTCCGGTTCCTCCTCAGGAATGGTGTCCACCTTTTTGTCGCCGCCCTTAGCCTCCGTACGCTTCTTGGGCGTCGTCCGGCTTCCGCGACTCTTGCGCACTGGCGACGATCCGGATCCGGCACGTTCTTCGCTGGAGGCGCGAGCCTCATTGATTTCTTCGCGCGCGACAGAGGCTTGCGGCAATTCCGGCACGTCGGTGTCCGGAATATCCTTTTGGCCCGCGACCGGGGCCTCGTCCTCGGTCTTCTCGTTCTCGGACACCTTGCGGGAGCGGCGACTTCGGCGTGCCACTGCCACCGGCACCGGAGCGGGCGACGATGACTTTTTTCGCTCGCTGCGCCGTCTCATGGCTGGCCAAAAAACGCTCGCAACGCGCTGCGACACTGGAAAGATCTGAAATAAAACGTAGGTAACGCCGGCGGACCCACAGCTATTTAATGCACTGGTCTTCGGGTTCACTTCTCTTGCTTTCCTGCACCTTTTCTCGATAAAGAAAATTTATTTAGCCAGGCCAGCGAAAGAGCGTCAATCCGCCATCAATATGCAGGGTTGCTTTGCTCCGGTCTATCGTCCGTGTGCCGGTTATCGATAGTTTCTTGAGGTTAAGTATCGTAAGCGAATAGCGTGATAATAAAAACAATTTTATTATTTAAATTTATCTATATAAAAAAAATGTAATTATTAAATAAATTTGGTTATAGATAGTTTTTAAATATTTATTAAATAACAATTAATCACCCATTATCGATGTTTTGCCTGCCAGTCATCTCTAAGCGATATGAAATAACTTTATAAATCTTTTTTAAAACCTTACCAAAAAACCTTTGTTATTATTCACATACGGCATTAAATTAAAGCTTTTAGCATTCATAAATATACTTTCGCGGGCGGTACAAAATGCATTTTCAAAACTCATTTACCGCGTTTTGCAACACTGCACATATTTCATAATTTTCAATACCATACCTGCAAAGTACCTGCATACAATAGTTTTTAGCTAAAAAATGAAATAAGCCCAACAAATATGATTGTGAAAAATATTGTTAAATTGACCCAAGTCATGGGCAGGCTGCGGCTTGTCCCGAATCCCAGGGAGTACTGTCATATGGCTCCGCTGAAAAGGAGCAGTTATAGCCAACGGTTGGAATCGGGATCACGATCACTGTGTGCCTATGCTGCGGATCACCGAGTGGCCTGGACAGCTCAACCCGCCCAAAGCTCTTCCGGCAGAATGTTTTGGGCCTTTTCCGCTGCCTTTACACTGAATCTGTTCGGAGGCGGTGATGAAAAGGAGGAGACTCCGGAGGACAAGCTGGTGAAGACCATCAAGCGATCGATCCTCTGCATCCAGCGGGAACAGTACGACAAGGCCGAACAGATGCTCCACCTGGCCCTGCGAATGGCACAGGATATTCAGAGTAAGGACGGCATCACTTATGTTTTCGATCTGATGGCCAACTTGGCCATGGAACGAGAGCAGTTCAAGAAGGCGGAGAAGATCTTCACGGACGTGATGAAGCGCCTCTTTGCCGACGGCCACACCGAAGAAAGTCCCAAGGTAGGTGACACTCGTAGACTCCTTCCCCAGTTAAGATCTCTTTCATCTTTAGATACTTCACATCAGCTCCAAAATAGCGCATATGTCCCAGCTGCAAGGTGATCTGGAGAAGAGCTTTCAAGGCTTCACCTGGACGCTCCAACAGTTGGCCAAACTCCTGGAGAAAATGCCCGACGACAAGGACATACTGGAGCTGTACGGCCTGACAAAGAATTGGTATTGAAGGTGTTTCCATTGCCGCCACCCAGATCACAATTGCAGTCACAATCAATGTGTTTCCTTGTGCCTATTTTTTCAGGTTCGGCCAGCTGCTGATGAAGCAGGGCAAGTATCTGGAGGCTAAAAACCTCTTCAAGGAGGCGTTCGACACTCTCATCGATGTTTATGGCGCCGTTAATGATGCCTCAGTTACCATCCTGAACAACATTAGTGTGGCGTATGTGAACGTAGGTTATGTTAGTTGTCCGTTGTCCATTATATTAATCGCTTTTTTTGCAGCTGGAGAAGTACCCCGAGGCCAGGGAGACCCTTGAGCAGGCCATGGAACTGGCCAAGGAGCTGAAGGACGCCACACAGGAAGGTATTTTGCAGGCCAACCTCGGTCTAGTGTATTTGCGAGAAGGTCTGATGTCGCAAGCGGAGAACGCCTGCCGGCTGGCGTGGAAGTTGGGCAAGCAGCACCAGAATCCGGATGCCGTTGAGCAGGCCGAGTATTGCCTGAACGAGATAAAAACCACCCTCAACGGGGAGAAGCGAAAGTGAGGTTTCTTTTTACAATGTATTTTTGACTATTTATAAAAATTTAATTTCGAAGTAAAGCGCAAATTGTAAAGGCTTAAATAACGCGGCCTCGATCACATTGAGAAATAATCGCGGGGCGTGAATTTTGGAATATTAGAAATTTGAATCGCCGCGCTATTATAACTTTTTTATTAACTTTTCGAACATTAAACACTACTCGAACTTCGCGATGACGATCATAAGTGCTACGCCGGTGAGAAGAGCAAATATTTCCTTCAACGACTGCTTCAGCTTGGTGGACTCCTCGAGCAGCTCTGGCAGAACGCTCACTGTTGCGATGTAGATGAAACCGCCAGCGGTGAAGGGCAGAACCCATGGTGCGGAGCCGTCTCCGCTTCCAGCTCCCAGGAGAGCCAGCGCTGTGCCCGCCAGAGCTCCGAGGGCAGTGACCAGCTGCAGCATCATCGCCTTTCGCCTGGAGCAGCCCGACTTGATCAGAATGGCAAAATCGCCAATCTCGTGGGGTACTTCGTGCAGCAAAATGGTGACTGTGGTCACAATGCCAATGCTGTTGCCCGCCAAGTATGAGGCACCGATGGCCAGACCGTCGGTAAAGTTGTGGGCAAAGTCGGCTGCGAGGTTCAAGTAGCCAGAAATCTCCACTTCGCCCTCCGGCTCGGCTTCTGGTTTCTTCGACTTGGTCTTGGTTGGCTTAGCAGGTTTGTCTCCATCTCCGCTGTCTTCCTTGTCGGAAGACTTCTTTTTAGGAGCCACTGGTTTGGGCTTTGGAGCTCCATGGCTATGCCCATGTCCTCCTTGACCGCCCTTAAGGATGCGAACAAGTTTCTCCACCGACAAAAAGGCAATGATTCCACCAAGGACCCACAGGCCAACGCTCATGTCGTGACTGTGGGCGTGCTCGTGTTCCTCTCCCTCGTGATGATGATGATGGTGATCGTGGTCGTGGTCGTGATCATGTTCTCCATGGCTATGAGGATGCGTTGCATGAGGAATCAAGTGCAGGAAAGCGTCGCCCAACAAGCCGCCGGATGCGAAGGCCAGCAAAACTTTGAGACGCGGCTTCATTGCCTCACTGTTGTCGAGGGGAATGATGTACAGCAGCACAAAGGGAGCGGCACTGATAAGAAGCGTGGAGCCGATGGAGTGCAGCCAAATGGTGCTCATATCTAAAAGAAATTGGGGTCATTTCGGGTATTCTATGTATGGGTGACTGGTGGCTTACCTAAAGCCGGCTTTGACTTGGTGTGACTTTCTCCGTGCCCGTGATGATGGTGTCCATGATCGTGGCCGTGATCATGATCGTGCTCGTGGTGATGATGCCCATGATCGTGGTCGTGATGGTGATGGTCGTGTCCATGGTCATGGTCGTGGTGATGATGGTGCCCCGCCTGCGGAGCGCTCTGCGGATCGAAGTTTTCGTTGGCTTCCCGCGAGTATTTGAAACTGGGATTGCCCTGGCCGGCGCACAAAGCCGGCAGGGAGAGGAGCACGGCTCCCAGGATGATGCCTAACGCCACCTTCTGGTAGAACTGGAGCTTGCTGCCCTGAAAATCAGCCACTTGTTTAGCCATTTTGTCCTAGTCTCTGTTACGCGTGGGACTACGGCTAAAGTGTTGTGACGTGTTTGCTTTTTTCTCGCTGCGTACTCACTGTAGTTATCGATAACCGACAGATACATACGCTATCGATTGTTTTTTTTTTAAGAATATAAAGACAGATGTTTTTGTTTTCCTTTGAATTGTTTAACCTTGGATATTTGTTTAACTTTTTCTACAAAAGTTCTAAAGACAAGGCCAATGGTGACAAAAGTAAATGTTTACAAACATAAGTAGTACTTATTAAGTAGATAGTTAAATATTTGAAAATCATGCGCTGTTTACACTATCAAAATTAAACCGTTCACATCGCACTTTGTTGTAGAATCAAACAGTTTAACCTGGGAACTAACTTTCAGTTAACCATTAATCAAAGCAAGCCTAGTGATTTCGCGTAATAGCTCAATTCATTCTGTGATTGTTTTAAAAAAAACCGATTGCCTTTTACAAGTTTATCTGGTCCTTAACTTTTTCGGGTAGATATTTAGCTACCAGGGACCTTAGTCAGGGACTCGAGAAACCGGTCCTGGTAGATTCAAGTCTTTAGTTAAATAATAAATATAAATAATTTTCTTGACATCAAATGAACATACATATATATTTAAAAAACCAACCTGTTGAAAACGTTTCCCATGCCAACTTAAACATTGGTTAAAATCCACTCATTTGAATAATTTTGTATTTGTATATTTGCAATTAAATGACTATTAAATATCTTTATGCTTTTAGTTTGTTTCCTATTTTTTTATCGTTACCAGACATGGTTAAACGAGGCTAATAACTAGACACGTGAAGGGTGCACAATAATTTGTTTATGTATACTATGCCGTTGATAATCCGCGTAAAATTCGACGGTGATCAATAAATTATTAGTTCGAGTTGCACATGACACGGCAATGTGGGTGTGTGTGTTCAGTGTTTGTTTTGCGTATGTATATATACAAGCCACTTTGGTTGCTGGTTGAATTGCTGCTGATCCTGCTGTCGTTTCTGGTTCCGGTTCCTGTTCCGTTTCCTCCGCTCAGTACAGGTTGATCTTCTTGAGTATTGTCTTGCGACACATGTGGCACGTCCGGAGCGTTTCGGCACAATGGGAGCAGGCTCCGTGGCCGCAGAGGAAGGCCACATCCCGCTTTCGTTCCATGCAGATGCCGCAGAAGTGCGACTCTTCAAACTCCTGCACCTTGTTCTCCAGGTAGCGCAGCAAATCCCCGGAAGGCAGGCGTGTGGGGTCACTGGGTGACGACGTGGACGTAGGCAGGGCCACTATCCGGCCGCTGGCTGTAAGACGCCGTTCTATGACCACCCCGCAGCGGAGGCACTTCTTCATTCGGATGCCGCACTCCTCGCAGGCGATCTGGTGCTGACACGGCTCGAAGCGCACCAACTGCAGGATCTCATTACAGACAATGCACTCCAGAGGACCGGACACGATCACCGGACTAGGGCTAGGACCTGCCGCCCCGGCCTCCAGTATCGTATTGCTCGAGCATGAGGTCACCGGGGGCTTGGGCGCCTTCTTGCGCGGCGCTACTTGCGGCGAGACGTTCTGCTGCACTGCGTCGGAGTTTAGTTTCTTTACACCCGGCGAGGCGGAGGGCGTGGATGGAGCTGCACCTGCTGCAGCCGATGGTATCTCGTTTGGCTTTGGCATTAGATCTAATTGCTGGCGCTGCGGTGGTGGTGGTGCTGCTACACTTCCATTTCCAGCTCCATTGGATTCAGCTCCTGTTACAGCAGAAACTTCCTCGCCGGCGGCAGTTGGTGCGGACATTTCCAGAGCTTGGAGGTTTCTAGGCAGTGACTCCACTTCGCCCTGCTGCCCGAAGATTAGCTGCCTGATGTTGCGGTCCGTAATCCATTCGAAAATGCTTGCATTGGCGTTGTTAAGCTCCACTCGACAGCCGGCCCTCGAAAGATAGATCAGGATGCTGTACATCAGTCGATCCTCGGCACGAACGCTCGTCTGCACTAGACTCAGGTAAAACTTGTGGATCTCAGGTGCCTCCTCGGGGTGCGGTTCAGCGGCTGACTGCAGATTTGACTTTTTAATCACGCACAAGTGCATGGCATTGTCCCCATCCTCGTCCTTGGCGTTTACGTCGCAGGAGAGCCGCACGAGTCGCTCGATCACGCCGGCATGGCCCTGGGAGACGGCCAGCAAGAAAGGCGTCTGCCGGCGATTGTTGCGTATATCCAACTCTGCTTGTCCCTCGGTGACCAACGTTTCCACCACCTGGGCATGTCCGTTGAGAGCAGCCAAATGAAGGGCCGCAAAGCCATCGTCCTTGCGCACATTGACCAGCTGGCGGGAGAGCAACAAGATGCGGCGGGCCGCCACCACGTTGCCCTTAAGCGCTGCATGATGGAGCACGTTGAAGCCGCGGTTATTCTTCACCGTAAAGTCTAGGTTGGGCGCATTGCATAGTAACTCTACGACCTCCGTGTTCTCCTTGCCGATTGCATCGTGGAGCGCCGTATCACCGTACGAGTCCTGGATATTCACGTTGGCGTTGTGCTGCAGCAACTCGCGGACGCAGTGCGGCGTTTTCTTGTGCGCGCAGATGTGCAGTGCAGAGCAGTGGCTCGAGTTGAGGAAGTTCACCTCGGCACCGTGCTGCAACAGCACACGCATCGTGGCCGGTTGATTGCCGAAGGCTGCGTAATGCAGGGCGGAGTCGCCCTCCTTGTCGACCGCATTCACGTTGGCACCCTTGGAGATGAGGTAGCTGACAAGGTCGACGTAACCCTGGTGCGAGGCAACCTGAATACATGCTTTGCCACCACTCATTACGTCCACCTGGCCGGGATTCACGTCCAGGTACTGGCGGACGAAATCCAAATGGCCCTGGGCGGCCTCCCGAACCAGCTTGTCGGCAACCGAACTGCCTGAGAGCCCCGAGAGCGGTGTCATCACATGGTCCGCTCGCCGGTGGCTTAGGTCCATCATGCTGTTGGAGCGCTCAGCTGCCGTTGCTAGGGGCGAACGCTCCAGTTTGACACATTTCGGATTCAGCGTCCACTCGAAGCCGTCATCTAGTTGCTGGATGCGCAGATCGCCGTCAGAGTACACCTTCACAACCTTGCAAATTTTGCCCAGGGCCTGAAAGGGGATTTTATGTTAGAAATGATATAATTTTAAGGATCTTACAAAACTCCACTTACGTGTCGCATGATTTCGATCCATTCGCCGTGGCCCTTCTGCAGCTGCTGCACTTTGTTGGCATCATTAATAATGGTGACCAGATCACCGACGCGAAAAGAGACAACCTTTACAAGAGCGGCGGGATGGAAGGTCCAACGATTGGGACAGTTCTCATACTGGACACTGTTGGGATTACCATTGTTAGAGGACTCAAATAAATGTAAAAGTATTGCTTATATCCACCGTATGTCGCCTTTGTCCGTGATGCGATGTACGGTGCCCAGTTTGGACAAGTGCTCGACCATGCGCGGATTCCATCCTCCGTGGCCCTGCTGCAACTTCATCAGGGCATCAACCTCCAGGCACACCTTGACGCGGTCGCCTACGGAGAAGCTTGGCTTCACCATCGGCGCCACCGGCTGCAACTCCTCCGGCTGACCCAGAACGGGCATGTGGTCCTTGTAGTAGTGACCGCCGCAAGTGGCCGTTATGTACTTGAGGTCCACGTTGCCCTTGTGGCCCAGACGGTAGACGTTCGTCGATCCGGTTACCCACGATACGTTGGCCACGCTGCGACACGATTCGTTGTCCCAGCCCCGGATTTCCATTACCCGTCCCGTTTTACCCTCTCCGCCGTCCTGTTCGCTCCACTCCCAGTCAGGACCACGCACCACCTTGGCGCCCACGAAGATGCCGCGCAACTGGATGCGCTTGGAGCCCTTTCTCGTCGGTACCCGCACGCCCAGCGAATTGGGAGAGGTGTAACGGACGAACGGGTGCTCCAAGTCGTGCAGATCCTCCGCGTAACAGTAGGCGCACAGATGGTAGTTGGCACACTGGGCGCACTTAAATACTATGCCGGCGATGCCCGCCTTGGAACAGCCATCGCAGACGACATTCGAGTGACGAACTCCTGCGAATAAATAATAAAATTAAGATTTGTTTAAAAAATTGTTTTTCAAGATTTTTTTGTATCGAATTCTTTCCTACTATTAGTTTGGGCTTATTAATTTTTTAAGACCTTGTTTATATTGGAAAAAGAATCTGAATTTAGTTCAGCTTCTTCAGAAACGCTTACTAATAATGCAAACTATTTAAAATGGTGTTGGGAAATAAGAAATGTTATAGTGGATTTTAAAATAAATTTTATTAGGGTTAGCTTGTAGGACTACATTTTACAATATAAGATATAATCCAAACACGACTCATTGATATTGTAAAAATATTAGTTTTCCGATCAAAAGTAAACAAATATTTATCAGTTGCAATTTTTCCTACACAGTTCTTAAGTTCCCAGAATAATTCCCTTAAAATCACATTGTCACTTACCAACTTGAGCATTATCCACAATTATCAAGTCGTACTGGTTCTGGTAGCCCACCCGGTAGTTGGTCCTGTGTCCGGAATCCCAGTTGACAACGACGGTGTTTTCCGGCGAGTGTGTCGATCCACAACGTCCGATTTCGCAAACGGTTCCAACGTGACCTTCTCCGTCGTCTGTTGCGTAAGCAATGAAACAAAGTTGGAAGCGATGTGATGTTAGTTGGCGAGATGTGGTGGGGAATCTATAGAGCTGCAGCCAGGCTCCTCCTTGGGCTGCATTATGTGCATATCCACATCCACATCCGGTGGATATCAGACATATGCAACGCACACTTCCCCCTCATAAACAACGCGCCATGACTATAAATATCCACAATCATTGACTCGGGCTCGGGCTCCAAGCGGATTTTTGTTATGCACTCGAACTCGGACGTGCAGCTGCTCTATAATTACCCCAAAACACGGGTGTGGATGTGGAGACGTTCTCTAGAGGGTGACATTTGATGTTGGCTGGGGAGGAATGGGGGCACCGATGGCTCTGCTCTCAACTAAAACTTTTGTTTATGTCTATTTTCAACACACCCCAGCAGAAGGA